TGTGCTTTACAGTCACACATCAAATCATAAATAATCACAGAACATTAAAAAGAATGCCTCAGTTTTATGCACAGCTAAAAATAAGTTTTTAACCTGGATTTAAACATTGTCAGAGAAGAAGCCTGTCTCACATTTTCTCAAAGACTGTTCCAGATTTTAGCAGCATGAACCTGAAATGCAGCCTCCCCATGTTTAGTTCTGACTCTGGGCACCAGCAAGAGTCCTGAAACACAACCAGGTAGAGTAGAGCAGAGTCGAGTAGGGCCATGTAGGGCTGGTGGGAATGGGGCTAAACACTCACCTCTTTAAAAAAAACGAGTGTAGGTAAATTACGAATATAAGGTGCTTAAAGCGCTTACACAATAGGTCACGATATCGCAGGTACTTAGAGTCCTGTCACAAAGTGCGTTTTCCCCGTGTTCTTCCTCCTTCCCGTCCCCAGCAGGATGTATGTGGCTGCAGCTCTTTTCTGCCTCAAACAAAGAAGGTGTCAGGTAGAATTATCCTTCCACCCACACCCCCCACTCGGGATCTTGAGGGCACGGGGGGCTTAGCGACGCACCACGGCTTCCGCTGACTCCCCTCGCGCACGCCCTACTCTCCAGTCTCTCTTAACAAGGTTGTTGGAAGAGGATAAGGCGTGTTAAATGAATAATTTACACACAAGAGCGCTCCTTATTTATTTAATATGGCTGGATCTAAGTGAGTGGGCAGCTTGTCGCGCTCCAGAGACACCCTGTTGGATAAATGAGGGCTGTTTGCTCGAACAGAAGGCAAGAAGAGACAAGCGTTTAGATTTGTGTGTGTGCACAAGGATTGTACATTGTGGAGACTAGAGGATGGAGATCTTTCAATTCAATTTATTTTTGAGTAGCCCTAAATCACAACATTGGTTCTCTCAAGGGACTTTAAAAACCATTGATTTGCCAACATTGATCAAAGAATCAAACAGTTCAAACACAAGACATGCAATTATAATGAAACACATAGAGCCATTGTTCCAAAAGGGGCAGAGTCCAATGTCCATACATTTTGATAAAGTGAATAAGTATCTGTTGAATGTCGAGTGTCCTGGATCATCACCACTGTCCTCAGACCCTTCTGCATCTGCAAGGAGATACTCTAAAAACCCAGTGGGAGAAAAGTGAGAAACCTCAGGGAGGTCCATAATGAGGGAGGGATTGTCTCTCACGAATAGATGGGCTATAACAGACAGTATTGTTCACTGTGGGGACTAGAGGATGGAAACTAGGACTAAGCTTGGAAGGTTTTTTTAATAAGACAAAGTAAAGAAAGCTAGTACTGCTTGATTATACATGTTTTGGCGGTAGACTTCCGCCTTCGTCAGAGGTGAAACTAGGACTGATACACTGATTATGGCCAACATGGAGAAATTATTATTTTTTCGCTCTTAATGACGCCAAAAATCGCTGTGAGTCAAATTGCAAAGTGTTTTTTGATGAGGGGGTCACAGATGTTTTGTGTGTGCGGCTGAACTGCATTTCTGTAGTACGAGTCTGGTTCAGATTCACTTTTCTCTCAATCAAGAAATGCCTCTTGGAGCAGGGAGGTCAATAGTACCGCATATACAAAAGAAAAACATAGGATGACACATTACAGTTCAGAAAGTCTGTATGATTCCTCTTTCTTTTATGTCTTTGCCTTATTGTACACTTAAATTACCTAGATTGAAATTTAGTAGAGAAGAGATCTATAGCTGTGTGTTTTTATGAAGACGTTTTTTCACTGACTTTAATGTTTATGTGACAGGAGGAGCACGGTGACTGGACAGGACCTCTCCACCCTGAGCCCGGATCCTGAGCCCGGATCCTGAGCCCAGACCCTGAGCCCGGACCCTGAGCCAAACTGCAGATGGGACCAGCTGAGCAGTCAGACCCACGGTAACTTCGACCCCACTGGTTTCCATTTGGGTCATTCTTGTGTCTTTCAGGCTCAGAAGTTTTGTATCATGTTACAACATAAATCCCTCACCAGACCTGGAGTTGTTTTTACCTCCATTCATCTCAATATCAGGAATATATATATTGACCTTCCCACTAGTTTCTCTCTATGGTCTGAGCTGAGGTTTCAGAGCATTTGATTGTCAGATTATCGCTATATTAGCAGTAGCACATCCTATATTTAATATTTTGGGACCAATATTGATTGATTGATTTTATTAGTAGTAAGACTTTAAAATATTTTCGCTTAGTTTATGGAGATACTTTTGTACATTATTTTTGTACTGCATTTAAATAAAAGAATGTAGAAAAGTAATCGAAAATAAAATGAAAAAGTCCCAAACTGTCCGCGGCCGTTGCTGCTGATTGTTCAGAGTACCCACTCTTGATTTGTTCCAGCTTGTTTGTCCAGTGAAGAGCGCACTACTTAAAAACCGATTCGTTCAGGCCCGTACTGCTAATAGCGCTCGAGCCGTTTCAGACGTAACAAAAGTAAACGCAAAGTGTTATGTCCAAAATGCCCAGTTTGTCTGCAGTTATTGAATAATATTTTGTTGCATGACGTATAATCTATAGTTAGAGATTGATTCTAGTTATATCCCCAACTATTAGCCTTTAAATATTCTTCCCTGTCCTGTTAATTCTTCCATTCTCAAAGCCTCCAACCTGACATGATGTAACAATTGTGCTCCCAAAGATCAATAAAAAAAATGTTCATCCATTTTTCTTTAAATGGTTTTGAGCTGCCATCCAAGATTACGTTGTGTATATCTATAAGCGCCATAGTATTGAAAATTTATTTTGTACAAACATTTTATTTTGGTTCATTCATTTTATTGCTGCTTATAGTAAGATTTTGCATTGTACAATTTAGCATGAATTGAGCCTTATCCCACCAGGGGCAATTCGTTTGAGCAGCACAGGGCATAAAAACGCATGAAACACAGGAAATGTACAAAAGAACATTAACAAAAGTGGTATGATGTAAAAAAGTGGAACCCATACGAACATGGAGCTGCCTGCACCGTGTGGCCTCGGTCCTCGTTCTACAGCCTGAGTCCTGGATCTACGTCCGCCGAGGATCTCCCCAAGGTTTCTCACTTTTGCCACTGGGTTTAGAGTTTTTACTCGCCGATGCAGGAGAATCTGTTAGTCTTGTGAGTTCTAACATAAAGGACATGGTGATGATCCAGGACACTCAACATTCAACAACATTTATGGACGTTGGTCATCTGCCCTTATGGATTTTATTCTCTGACCTGTGTTGGCAAATTTATGATCATAACTACTGCTGTGATTTAGGGCTTTACAAGAATTGAATTGAATTGAATTAGAAATATGAAAACAATACAACACAAGCTCAAGCATCAAAAATCAATATTGACAGATATCCTGCTGTGACTTTTCCCGAAGACCACAGGCAAGGTCTCATCTCCCACAACTATTGGAAAATTGGTGCCCTGAACAACAAAGCTTTACCAATCCAAGTGGTTTTCCCAATCCTTCCAATCCCTGATCTGGCTGTTGACAGAGGAAGCTTATCGCAGCACTACATCGGTGCAGATCCCCCAGGAGGGTGCAATCCCCCTGCCTCCCATTGACCTCATTATAAAAATAGCTCATCTGTGGAACCATCGCGCTCGCCGTCTCGTTCCCCCGTTCTCTACCTTGTCCCGCCGTAAGACTTAACGGTGAGATTAAGAGCTTAGGCCGGTCCTTGCGCTGGTGAGGTTCTCCCGCACACCTGTCGGCACCAATCCAGCCGTAATCCTGGATCATACAGCGGTTTAATCAGCACACATCTCCGGATAACCTTAAAGACGTTGTTTACATGTGGCGTTTGTTGGCAGGCCGTAAACCTACGAGCCAAATGTCTGAAGAAAGTAGGACATTAGGTCTATCGCTGGAACCTGCTGGTCACTTCTTCTGGTCTTTTTTGAGCTTTTAAAAACACAAAGAATAGGTATGATTGTAATGAGTGAGTGGATGGTGTTTGGTCGGAGGCTTTGATGGACCAGTGTGTTCAGCGTCTCATTTCGTCATCACCGTGTGGAGTGTGATGTCACTTTGGGCGTCACGTGGATGAGTGGATCGCACTTTCGCTTCTCAGCAAGAAGGTCCTGAGTACGAATCCCGGATGGAACAGGGCCTTTCTGATCTTCCCGTGTCTGCGTAGGTTTCCTCTGGGTGTTCCGTTTTCCCCTACCAATAAAAACATGCACAACAGGCGTGGCATGCGCCTCCTGTACTGGCGACCCCGCTCTCTGGGTGGAGTGGGAGACAAATGCCCACAACTGTGAAGCGCTTTGTGACTCTGGTCTATATGAATAAAGATTACTTACTTAAATACAATCTATGGTGGTGGGAGCTGTTGTAGGACAGGGGTGATGTGAAAACCAGATCCTGACAAAACTCTGAAGCTAAGCCTGGTTAGTACTGTGATGGGAGTCCTTGTGGAACACCAGGTGCCACAGTGGGGCGGCTGCAGCTGTAAAGTGCAGGCAAGAGAAGCCATTTCACCTACACTAGTGTGTGTGTGTGTGTGTGTGTGTGTGTGTGTGTGTGTGTGTGTGTGTGTGTGTGTGTGTGTGTGTGTGTGTGTGTGTGTGTGTGTGTGTGTGTGTGTGTGTGTGTGTGTGTGTGTGTGTGTGTGTGTGTGTGAATGGTTAGTGGCGATTACAGTGATGGCACATACTGGTTGCCTCGCTTCTGTCAGTGTGCCCCCTGGCAGTTGTGGCTACAGTTGTTTATCACCACCCTGTCTGAATGAATAACGACATGTGAAGCTTCTTTGAGTGTCCAAAGTGCAGTATAAAACCCATGCATTATTTATTATTATTATATTATAATTATCTTGGGTGACTTTTAATATTTTTTTCATTGAATTATTTTTAATACTTTCACTGACCGATCCTTCTGGCCTCTGATTTATATTTCTGTGGTTCTAACCCAAGCATCCAACCTTCTCCCTGAAGCCAGTGGTGCGTTTGACTCTTTGGTGCCAGTTGGTCACTATGGTCTTTTACCCTTGGCCCAGACCTCGTTCCTCTTCATCCTCCTTCTCCTCCTCATCAGCCCTTCCCTGCTCTGCTTTCTCCAGGGAGGCTCTGCACGCCGCTCGCTGCCTTTGACCTGTTTTCCCGAGCAGCTCCTCAAAGCCCCGTCTCCCTCTACATGCGTTTGATCTGATCCTGTCATTAGGGAAGTGTTCCTCGCTGATGCACATTGTGTACGCCGCTCGCTTCATGAAGACGGAGGAGCACACCTGCCTGATCGCTGTACTCCTCTGTCTGGCCCTTGTTTAGTGCAGAATATTGACTGAAAGTTATTTTAGATGCATCCTTCTCTTGGCTCTGATCATCCTCTTGGGTCCCTGCTTCCTGACGAGAGTTGAAGTTGGACAGGAGGAAGGGAAACTTGGGGCAATGATGGTGGATGGATGGACCAAGTAGATTTTTTATCAATAAAGCATAATATTACAAAATATACCTTGCGAAAGTATTCGGCCACCTTGAAACTTTCAACATTTCACCACATTTCAGGCTTCAAACATAAAGATATTATATTTAAATTTGTTGTCATGAATTAATAACAAGTGGGACACAATCGTGAAGTGGAACAAAATTTATTGGATAATTTAAACTTTTTTAACAAATAAAAAACTGAAAAGTGGGGCGTGCAATATTATTCGGCCCCTTTACTTTCAGTGCAGCAAACTCAGTCCAGAAGTTCAGTGAGGATCTTTGAATGATCCAATGTTGTCCTAAATGACTGATGATGATAAATAGAATGCACCTGTGTGTAATCAAGTCTCCGTATAAATGCACCTGCTCTTTGATAGTCTCAGGGTTCTGTTTAAAGCGCAGAGAGAACCATGAAGACAAAGGAACACACCAGGCAGGTCCGAGATACTGTTGTGGAGAAGTTTAAAGCTGGATTTGGATACAAAAAGATTTCCCAAGCTTTAAACATCTCAAGGAGCACTGTGCAAGCAATTATATTGAAATTGAAGGAGTATCAGACCACTGCAAATCTACCAAGACCCGGCCGTTCCTCCAAACTTTCATCTCAAACAAGGAGAAGACTGATCAGAGATGCAGCCAAGAGGCCCATGATCACTCTGGATGAACTGCAGATAACTACAGCTGAGGTGGGAGAGTCTGTCCATAGGACAACAATCAGTCGTGCACTGCACAAATCTGGCCTTTATGGAAGAGTGGCAAGAAGAAAGCCATTTCTCAAAGATATCCGTAAAAAGTCTCGTTTAAAGTTTGCCACAAGCCACCTGGGAGACACACCAAACATGTGGAAGAAGGTGCTCTGGTCAGATGAAACCAAAATCGAACTTTTTGGCCACAATGCAAAACGATATGTTTGGCGTAAAAGCAACAAAGCTCATCACCCTGAACACACCATCCCCACTGTCAAACATGGTGGTGGTAGCATCATGGTTTGGGCCTGCTTTTCTTCAGCAGGGACAGGGAAGATGGCTAAAATTGATGTGAAGATGGATGGAGCCAAATACAGGACCATTCTGGAAGAAAACCTGTTGGAGTCTGCAAAAGACCTGAGACTGGGACGGAGATTTATCTTCCAACAGGACAATGATCCAAAACATAAAGCCAAATCTACAATGGAATGGTTCACAAATAGACGTATCCAGGTGTTAGAATGGCCAAGTCAAAGTCCAGACCTGAATCCAATCGAGAATCTGTGGAAAGAGCTGAAGACTGCTGTTCACAAACGCTCTCCATCCAACCTCACTGAGCTCGAGCTGTTTTGCAAGGAAGAATGGGCAAGAATTCCAGTCTCTCGATGTGCAAAACTGATAGACATACCCCAAGCGACTTGCAGCTGTAATTGCAGCAAAAGGTGGCGCTACAAAGTATAAGCGCAAGGGGGCCGAATAATATTGCACGCCCCACTTTTCAGTTTTTTATTTGTTAAAATAGTTTAAATTATCCAATAAATTTTGATCCAGTTCACGATTGTGTCCCACATGTTGTTGAAAAAAAAAAATATTTTTTATATCTTTGAAGCCTGAAATGTGGCAAAATGTTGAAAGGTTCAAGGGGGCCGAATACTTTCGCAAGGCACTGTATCTGTTTGTGGTGATGGGAAAAACAATTCTGTTTAGTATATTTTGCACACAAAATTGAATTTGTACAGTAGAGAAAGGTATTGCAATATTTGATTAGAAGACATATTGCGATACAGCAAGTATTAAGAATTGCAATAATATTAAATTGTGATCCAAATATCTCAATACTATCTAACCACCCATAGTGACGTCAGCCCTCGGGCATAGGACGCACACACAGCTAACCATAACCTGTTCCGGTGGGAATTGCCGAAATGTGTTAATTAGATAATATTGCAATATTTGGGCCTCAATTCAATCTTTTGCAATATGTTGTGATTCATGTCCCGCATATTATTCAAAGGCATTACAAAACAGAATACATGTTTTTAACCTTTACAGAAATACAAAAACATTCCCAACCAAACTTATTACTGTCCATTTTGATCTGAATTTGCGGCCCATGAGTCTGCCATTTGGGTTGCCTGTTTCTTTGATGGAATCCAGCTGGTTTAACAGTCACTAGCTAAACCTCACCCTGAGCACATGGTTAGGATTGGAAATAGTGACTTCTTTATTTTTTAATTTCAAAAACACAAACTTTTTGCCTCTGCTTTTAAGGCAGATTCTTCCCACTGTGACGAACATAAATAGTTGTTTCTTGCTCTACTCCTTCAGACATGATTTAATTTTTCTCATTTAGTTGCGTCAGTTACTCCCACTCATCTTGCATTACTTTCCCCACAAACTTTTTGCCTCCAGTTCGCTTTCTGGGACAACTTTATACAGCTACTGTATCACAAGTCGCATTTAACCAGTACTTGGTCCTGGTTCTATCCAGGTCGAGCTGGTACTAAAGTGTTCTGACTGACGGTGATCGGCCAGAGTGCGGCTCGAAGCCATGGTTGTCTAGAAACTTCCTCTGCTGTTGGTTATTTGTGGGTAGGTTGCTAGGATATGGTACCAGATGATAGATAGATACTTTATTGATCCCTGTAGGAGAAATTCAGGTGTCCAGTAGCCGCAAAAATAAAATGTATCATTCTAAAAAGTAAAAAATATTAATAATCAGCAACAGCCCTTCAGGTCACAGCGGAAGATGTGTAGTAGCCTCTGGGTGGAGCAGGACGGGTCACGGCAGCAGAGATGGTGTAGCGTCTGGGTGGAGCAGGACGGGTCACAGCAGCAAAGGTGGTGTAGCGACTGGGTGGAGCAGGACGGGTCACAGCAGCAGAGGTGGTATAGCGACTGGGTGGAGCAGGACGGGTCACAGCAGCAGAGGTGGTATAGCGACTGGGTGGAGCAGGACGGGTCACAGCAGCAGAGGTGGTATAGCGACTGGGTGGAGCAGGACGGGTCACAGCAGCAAAGGTGGTGTAGCGACTGGGTGGAGCAGGACAGGTCACAGCAGCAGAGATGGTGTAGCGTCTGGGGTGGAGCAGGACGGGTCACAGCAGCAGAGGTGGTATAGCGACTGGGTGGAGCAGGACGGGTCACAGCAGCAGAGGTGGTGTAGCGTCTGGGTGGAGCAGGACGGGTCACAGCAGCAGAGGTGGTGTAGCGACTGGGTGGAGCAGGACGGGTCACAGCAGCAAAGGTGGTGTAGCATCTGGGTGGAGCAGGACGGGTCACAGTAGCAGAGGTGGTGTAGCGTCTGGGTGGAGCAGGACGGGTCACAGCAGCAGAGGTGGTGTAGCGTCTGGGTGGAGCAGGACAGGTCACAGCAGCAGAGATGGAGTAGCCTCTGGGTGGAGCAGGACAGGTCACAGCAGCAGAGATGGAGTAGCCTCTGGGTGGAGCAGGACAGGTCACAGCAGCAGAGATGGAGTAGCCTCTGGGTGGAGCAGGACGGTCACTAGGTGGAGTAGCTGCTTGGTTTGGATCATTTTCTCTGCTCTAGTCCAAAGTACAATGCTAAATGCTTCATTAGCATTTTTCAAAAAGTTAAATGCTAAAGATTAGACGCTAAAGCGTAATGGAAACTCAACCAGGTAGAGTTGGGCTGGTGGAAACGGGGCTAAAGTGTGTTTTTGTGTTAGTGTGTGTGTATTTCTATTGATGACCTAGTACTATTCATTAAATTTAGAAACCAATGAGACGATTCAAAATTGTGACGAAAGAAATTCAGGCTAAAAGTTTGTTCTGGTTTCAATAAGATTAAGAGATCCTTTATTCATCCCACAGTGGGGAAATTTCAGTTTTGCATCACCATTTACAGAAAAGTGGGAATGAGGAGAACACAGCGCACAAGACAAGTGAACAATAACTCTATACTAAGTAAGGGATAATGTATAGCATACAGGTCATTATCGGAAAATAAGTACCGACAGGGCGAAGCGGACCCCGACGCGCAGCGGAGGGGTCTGCTTCCGCCCTAAGGTTGTCCCAAAAAGTTTTCCCGTTGCTCGGCAACCGCGGGCAACAGTTAGGCTGGCAACTTCCAAACTAGAACTCTCTGGAACTGCATGAAAACTGAACAAAGAATTCTGAACATCAGCGGTGAGTGACCCATACATAAACCTAACCTAAATCCATAATTCGATCCTCTGCAAATGTGTCCGAAAATGTGCCGGTATCTTAAAATGTGCCGGTATCTACTTCCGGGTTTTTCGGGATCGCCTTTTCTCGCATTACATCAGTGTTTTTGTCATGAAAACGTAAACGGAAAATTCTGAAAACTTCCGTGCACTTGTATTAAGACTGGATATGTATAATTCACTCTCCGATAAACATTTCATTGCGTTGATTGATTGGCATTTGCGTTTATTGAGCGGCCAGAACTACTTCCGGGTTTTTCACGATCGCTTTTTGACGCAGAGAAATAGTATTTTTGTCATGAAGACAAGACCAGAAAATTCTGAAAATTTCTGTGCACGTGTGTGAAGAATGTATATGTATAAGTATTCTCCGATTAACATTTAAGTGTGTTGATTGAGCGTGGCTAGCTCAGGAGTGGCCGGAACTACTTGCGGAGTTATCCACGCATTTGAAATACAAGCAGAGAGTGTGTTGCCAAAGGGCAGCGGTCATTATTGTTTTGAGAGGTCCGTTATAGAAAATAATGACCGGTAGAACGTTTTGAAATTACATTCAAATCAATGGAGCATTCTACTGCTGCTCTGAGGAGCCGTATAATAAAATAAAATATCTTGAGCATAATAAAGAAG